GGGCTCTCGGCCGTCTCTTAGAATAACAAATGATGTTGTGCTATTGCCATATTCGCTATTTATTTCAAAGAAGAAGAAAGGAAAAACGCCTGGCAAAAATCTATGTATCCATTCAATGTGTAAAACTTTCATCATTCATGCGCAGCCGTACCTCATATCAGTCATGTCTTTGCATCAATATCCCTATCCCTCATCCTCAAGCTCTCTCTCCAACCGCGCTACCCCTACTTCAACCCCCTCAACATCTGCGGATGCGGCGACGGACTCCTGCCCCTAAGCGCCGGCTCACTAGGCCTCAGCATGGGACTCGCGGCCGCAGACAAGGCATCCAGACTCAGTTTACTAATGGCATCGAGATTGCCCTGGGCCTCCTCCTCGCTCAAATCCAGCATCAGACGGAGCTCATTCGCCTTGAGGGAGTCGCCCAAACCAACCATCAATTGCTCCTTGTTTGTGCTGCCGGGGACATCGTAGTAGGACCAGCGGTAGCCAATGTCGTCGAGGGAGTGGGGTTCAGCGGGGGTGGTGATGCGGGCGCGGACGTGGCGGACGTCGATGCCGAAGATGGCAGAGATGCTGGGTTCGGTGCCCAGGCCGCCGAGGGTGGAGGGACGAAGCGAGGTGGGCACCTTTGTGTCGCGGGAGATGGGGGATTCGGCGAGTCTCTTGGAGGCGCCTGCGTCCTGGAGCCTTGCGCGCTTAAAGGTAGCGTTTTTGAGCTCGGTGAGGCCGAGGACGATGTAGAGGGGCTTGTTGGCTTTGAGTTGGTCGAGGATCCAGGCGCGGGCTTCGGGGTCGTTGCAGACGGCTTCAAAGGCTTGCGAGGGGTGTTGGCTGGTTCGTTGGACCATTTGTTCGGCGCGGACGGTGAGGAGGTTGGGCTGGCGGTAGATTTTGCCCAGGTCGAATTTGGCGCCGTAGTTGGTCATGAAGCGGCCCTCGGTGTCGGTGGAGAAGAGGTCCTTGTAGCGGAATTGGATGTGGTAGTCATTGAGGTCGTCGACTTCGGCGTGGGCTTTGTCGGGGTAGAAGGAGTCGCGTTCGGGGTGGAGGGGGTGTGTGAGGAGCTGTCCAACGACCAGGATATCGGCGGGGAGAGGCTTGGGGAGGAGGCCGTGGACCATGGTCACCGACTTGATCGATGTGGGTGGTCGAGGCTGCTTGTATGGGGTGTGGTTTGATTGGGGATGTGGGATTGATGGTGATGGTCGTGGTCGTGGTCGTGGTGGGTTTGTAGCAGAGTCTCTGTGCTACTTGAACGTTGATGACACTTGGTTGTTACAAAGGGGGCAAGGGCAACGAGACTCGATTTGAGCATATGCCAAGGGGTATGGTAGAGAGCCTCGGAGTGAGCTGGGCATATGCTAAGGGGTATGGTAGAGGGTGAAATGGCAGAGGGTGAGATGTTGTCCCAAGGCTGCGCCGGTGTGCGAATCAGAAGGTGGGATGCGCCCAGATGGCAAGCGCTTGGCCATATCGGGTAGCCCGTGCCTACCGGTGCGTTCAGGCTTCACGTTGGTAGATGCGGCGTTGATCTTGGTAGGTAGAGGGGTTACCGGTACCTGTTACAGGTTGCGCTGCTTATTGAACATGGATTACGGTGAGTTTTGTATTTGCATCAGATGGAAAAGGGCCCAGGCTTAGCGGTATTCGTCACGTGGCGGCGCGTGTTCACGGTACCCAGCTATGGTACTTGAGGAATGAAAAGCCCCTCGCCCCTCGCCCCTCGCGCGCGCTTCTTCGAGCAGACGGGATGGTCTTGGTCCTGTCGGCGGGGATAACTCGGAAACATCCTGACGAAAGCCATGATCGTCTTCTTCACTCTTGAGAACCATTTAACCCTTTGAACAAGCCTTGACTGTTACGTCCCGGCACTTTGCTTGCAGTCGGTGCCGCACGAAGACACGCACACACAGTCGACAAGACCGGCAACTTCCTGGGGGCTATGTCTCGCACGCAGGGGGGGTACATGTGTATCTGGGCATCGGCGCAACGACCGATGGAGGCAGAGGAAGAAGATGGTCAAAGACTTTGGGCAGAGATTAGCAAGCCGCCAACAGGAAGCTAATCTCGCCAAATGTCCGAGTCGGAGAGGCGAGTGCCTACCTATACCATGGCAACAATGGGGGGTTGTGGTTTGTCAATGAAGGGCCTCGATCGCTGACTGTGCATGTCTAATCATGGACAACTGGTGGCGTTTCTCGAACGAAGACGGCTACCGGTAGTGCCGGTATGATTAGTAGGATTCGTGGTAGTTTGGTAGGTAGGATGGGGACCACGAAACTCCACGGCGCTGCAACCAGGAAAAGCTCATAGGAAGGTGGACAGAAGACATGGCACATGGAACTTGGAAGGTAGAGTCTAGGTGCCTGGAGTCTAGGTGCCTGGAGTCTACTCTAGGTAGATGGGAGTAGTCCTAGTATCATAACCCATAGCCCATCATCCCATCAGGCGCAGAAACGGAAAAGAGGCCCCACGGGCAAAGCTTTCCCCTTTACCCCTCCGAGGGCTGCTCCCCCCGCCATCCCAACCTTTGACGTTTTATCGATAAGAGCGGTTCCCAATGGACCAGATCCATTCCAACGTCACCAATCACCAACCACCAACCACCACTCACAATACTCAACTTCCACTCCACTCCACTCCACTCCACTCCACTCCACCACGCTAAACCTCCCCTCCCCCTAAACTAGCATGGCAGCGGACACTATGGCTGTACTAAGCCCACAGCTGGATGCAATGGGCGAATCGAACTGCACACAACAATGACGCTGGCTGGCGAGCTGGATGGGAGGTTGAGAACGAGCCTGACACACGTCACTGATGGTTCCAGCGGCCCCCTCACTAAGCCATTGGCCGAGCCAACTCCGTCGAGGCTTCATCTGTTCTCAAGGCGAGAGTACTTGAACCCCTCGTTGCCCCTCCATGTCTAGGTTTTTTTCGTCTTCTTCTCTGAAACATCATCCCACTTCTCCTAGCTCAACCCCAGCTTCCTCACATCTCAACTCGAGCATTCCCTTGTGAGAATCTCTTACCAATACACATCTGCCACCATGGTCCCTCTTCCCCAAGCAACCGAGCTCAAGGACCTCTTCAGCCTCAAGGGCAAGGTCGTCGTCGTTACTGGTGCCTCTGGCCCCACTGGTATCGGCACGGAGGCTGCCCGTGGTTGTGCCGAGTTCGGTGCCGACCTCGCCATCACCTACAACTCTCGCGCTGAGGGCGCCGAGAAAAATGCAAAGGAGCTGAGCGAAAAGTACGGCGTCAAGGTCAAGGCCTACAAGTGCCAGGTCGGCGTCTACTCCCAGTGCGAGCAACTCGTCGCAGACGTCATCAAGGACTTTGGCAAGATTGGTAAGTTCCTGAATGGTCGCCTCCCCGACCACTCCAGCTCACAAAATCAAAGACGTCTTCATCGCCAACGCCGGAAAGACGGCCGACAATGGTATCCTCGATGCTACCGTCGAGCAGTGGAACGAGGTCATCGAGACCGATTTGACGGGAACCTACAACTGCGCCCGTGCCGTTGGTTTCCACTTCCGCGAGCGCAAGAACGGCTCCCTCATCATCACAGCATCCATGTCTGGCCACATTGCCAACTTCCCCCAGGAGCAGACCTCATACAATGTCGCAAAGGCTGGCTGTATCCACATGGCCAGGTCGCTCGCCAACGAGTGGAGGGACTTTGCCCGTGTCAACTCCATCTCCCCCGGATACATTGACACTGGTCTTTCCGACTTCGTTCCCCAGGACATCCAGAAGCTGTGGCACTCCATGATCCCCATGGGCCGTGACGCAAAGGCTACGGAGCTCAAGGGTGCCTATGTCTACTTTGCCTCGGATGCTTCGTCTTACTGCACGGTAAGTTGCTCGTCTTCCACTCGATATAAGCGCTGTAGCTAACCTGCATAGGGCTCTGATCTCCTCATCGACGGTGGTTACACCGTGAGGTAGATCTGTCGACTTTGACTGCGGGCACATGAAAGCTGTAGGATTGCGAACGAAGTATTATTACTGTATATCCCGTATCGTAATGAAACAAGTGGACGAACGTCCAAGACCACCATGCATAGAATAGTTACTTGAGACTTTAGTCCCGAATGTGATGGCTGACCAACTCCCCAAAAAGCAGGGCTTCCGTACAGGGACTTCCGACTTGCAGCGTGTACATTTTGTTGAAACGGGGGGAATATATGACGCAGCTGAGTGGTAGATAAAAGGGTTGGAGACAAAAAGCACCCTTGCCGTCGCTTCTCGCAGTACTACAGTTACAGTCTTTGACGCAGAGCGATGAATAGAGATGCATCAGCCAATCAGATGCCGACACTAGCAGGGGTGTGGCCAGAGGTCACATCGCCAGCACCTCGCTTGGTGTCGTCTTTCACCCCAACGCACAAACTCCCAACCTGCACTTGACACGAAAGGTCACAATAAGTTGTTCTCATGAATGAATGAATGAGTAGAAAGGCTAACCCATCAATCTCGTCGATCTCATCTTCGGCAGCTTTTCTTGGCCTCTTGAATACTGATTCAGAACTCGCCAAGCCCTCCAACGTCAGCGTGCAACGAATCAAGCAGTACCGGTACCCGTTCAGATTAGCTCTCTCCATAAGTCGCACGTTTACGACTACTTTCTTTCCAAAACTTGAAGAGGAACCGTCCAAGTCATCGCGTGCAGTCGGTTCCTGGACGCGCGTGGAGCGCACCCAGGGCTCCTTTTTCCTGACAACAGCAAAGCCGTGTGTGGTCTACACTTGCTGCGAGATGGATCCCAATGCGCCCTCGTTCGAGGCCATGATAAGGCTTGCACTGAGAGGATCAGATTGGCAACAGCTGAAAGCTTCGACTTCTGTCCCCGTCGATTCAAATGAATCCCCACAACAGGATGATGAGCTCAAGACCGCCACACAAGCAGATGAAGCTCTACCTCCACGAGTCATGACAGCAAAGCAGAAAAAGAAGATGGCACGCTTCGAAAAAACCCTTTCGCGAGATGCAGGTGCAGTTATTGATATAATCGAAGCGGACGCGATAACGCCAGTCCCGCAGAATGTTACCTGGGACAGGGACCCAGAACTTTTGTGTAGCTATAATTGGCAGGCCTCAACCGATGGCACGAACACCATATTTGGTATGTCAAGTCGTAGTTTTCACGTCTTTCGAATCCTGTTCTCCATGCCTTTTCCCATTTCTGCATCGAGTAAGCTAACGAATCATAGTTCCTGGCACGCCCACAAAGTGGCAAGAGCCGCCTTTACCAATCACCCTTGAACCTGATCAGGGTATCCAATATTCAGACTACAACTATGCTCGCCAGCCACAGGATCCCTATTCACCTATGTTCCAGGCTCTCAGCGTGATGAACCCCAGCTATCGGTTCAACGACGTGGACGTACTGGCGGACCGCAACAACTTGCGAGTACTGCTGGATTTCTGCCAGGGTAAATCAAACGGGCCCTTCCGCCTAAACATCTTTCTCCTCTTCAACACACTTGTCATCGTGCGTAAGGAGTCCAGATGGTGGTCGACGTGCGATGGCGTGAGCTATGGTTGGAGCTTCGAGAAGCATTTCACGCGGCCCGTAGAAGGTATGGAAGATGCTACGAGCCACTACAGGGCTATCCGATATCCTCTGGGACCCTTGAACGTCGTCGTACGTTTTGAAGCAGACGCATACGATGATGGCCTCGCCTCTGATATTCGATCCAATTCTGAGACCCACGCCGTGGGCGGATCCTCCACAGGAAAACCAACCTTTTCTTACCGATCACCCATTCGCGTGATGCAAAAAGGGCAAATCATACCATGCCGGCAATTGGTAGAGCTCAAGACACAAAAGATCAATCCCGAGGATTCCCACAAAGTGGCCTGTCAAGACCAATTATGGTTTGGCCGCACCTCCCTCCTCTTCACCGGACCCTACCAAGGCAACACGGGCGTCATCAAACGCGTCAAGTACGAGGTTGCCACCGACAGGATCAAGGTTTGGGAAGAGCGTAACCAGGATAGTCTGCGCAAGCTACCGGCCCTGCTTATGCAGCTAAGGGATATCTTGAAGACGCAAACGCGACCATACCGAGCCGTCCTAGTGCGAGAGGACAAAGGTGGTCCCCTCTACGTACGCACCATGCAAGGCTTCAGCCATGCGCTTGGTAGGGACTACTTCGCGAATCATTGGACACCGAGTCCGTCGTCTGTCTCGTCTCGTGGTAGCGCTTATCGCGGTTCGAGAGCTGGCCGATCGCGTGGGAATCATCAGCCGAGAGGTCATGATACCACACAAACATATCCCTGTCCTCCGCTCAATGACCCACAGAATCATGGCAGGACTTTGACTGAGTCGCATCGCGGTCAAGGAGGAAGGGGAAGAGGTCAGTTCTACGTGCCCCGGGGTCGTGGTCGTGGTCGTGGGCAATCTAATTCCTAAGGACCGGATGTCATCTCTACCACGATGTCACGTAGGTCGCAGACTGGTACAATCACCTATCAACAAATAATACGATATTACGCTGAGCCACTACAGTGGGCCTTGCATGAGCAAGGGAGAGTTACGGATTATCTGTAAGCTTTGTTCACTGGAATACAGGAGGATCAGACCAAGTTGCTAACAAGGTTGTTCCTTTCATAGTACACCGTTCTGAATACGAAGGAGACGATGGAGTAGGAAGCCAATGACAGTCTCAAAATCAACATTACACGTCATTAACAATGTCACGTCTTGGATACCGTTCCTCTTGCCATCTGTCTACCACTTCTGGTAGCTACCTAGCTCGGCTTGAAGTAATCAGTACCAGACTTGAAACCAAAACAGTACCACTTCAGATTCCCCTTTTCAAAGCTTCCAGCCCCTCCTCTTCGCCAGCGCAGTCTCCTGTCTAAGCGCCAAATCGGCAATAATCTCCTCACTCCCGCCACCCACCACCATCATCCTCAAATCACGACTCATCTGCTCCACCACCGCCCCCGGCCCGCCCTTCTGATAGCCCGCGCCCCCGAAAATCTGCTGCGCCTCGCGGTTTGCCATCTCCAAGATGCGGCCCCCATGCACCTTGGTCAGCGCAATCTGGCCGGCTATCTCGGCGTCCTGCCACCCGTCGCGGGACTGCTGAATGTGGTATGCGAGTTGCTCGAGCCAGGCCCAGTGGCTTTCAATGTAGCGGGCCATGGTGGCGAGTTTGTGGGCGATGATTTGGTTGGAGACGAGGGGTTTGCCAAAGGTGTGGCGGGTGTGGGCGTAGGCGGTGGATTCGGAGAGGCAGGTTCTTGCTTTGCGGTTGCAGCCTATGGACATGAGGAAGCGCTCTTTGTTGAAGTTCTTCATGATGATGCGGAAGCCCTTGTTTTCTTCGCCCAGCAGGTTGCCTACCGGTACCTGCACGTTGTCGAGCTCGACAAAGGAGGCGCCCCCGCTGTTTTGCCCACTGTTGGCGATGCGTCGGTGGGTGAGGCCGCGGCTCGAGGTGGGGATTACGAGCACGGAGATGCCGGTCATGCCGGGGCCACCGGTGCGGACGGCCGTGGTCATGTGTGTTGCCCATGGCATACCGGTGATCCATTTCTTGTACCCGTTGACGATGTAGTGCGTGCCATCCGGGCTCTTCGTAGCCGTGGTTTCGATATTCGCAACATCAGACTAGGGGTTCAGATATCAGCAACAGGGAAATAGCCCGCTCCCCAGAAAGAAAGAATGACATACCCCCCCACTCGGCTCCGTAATCCCCAATGCAAAACTCGTCTCCCACGTAAACAGCCCAGGCAACCAGCTCGCCTTTTGCTCCTCACTCCCATGCTCCACAACAGGCGGCACCCCAATCACACTCGCGCCCCCCAACGCCGTGCCCAACCCGCCCTCCATCCTCGCGCCCTCATCCGCCAAGACCATTAAGTGAAAGACATCCAGCTGCGCCGCCGGTATCCCCGCAGGGCCAGGCACCTGCGCCGGCCGATACTGCGCCGGCACCTCTGTAAACGCAAACCCGGAGCTGGCCCACGCCAGGCGGGCGGACAGCGGGGCTTCACCCTTGGCTTCCCACTCCAGCATGTACGGCTTGATGTGGGTGTCGATGTAGGCGCGCAGCGTGTTGCGCAGGTGCCGGTGCGTGTGTGTGTAGTAGGGTGAGGAGAGGGAGTTGTACCACGAGGGTTCGGCCCAGGGGCCTCGGTTGCCGCAGGTTTGGGCGTCTTTTTCTCGGGGTTTGGGTGGGGGGGTCATGGTGGTGGTTTTTTGCAGTGGGGGAGGAGGGAAGAGAGGTGTGCATTGTGGTGATGGCGGGTGGATCTTCCTGCTACGAGATCTCTATAAATCGGTTTCTG